TATTTTAACTATTAGTTAGTTCAACTTTTTTCTCTTTCCACTCCAAAACTGTCCTTCATGCGGAGCTTGCAGTGAGCTGAGATCCGGCCACTGCACTCCAGCCTGGGCGACAGAGCAAGACTCCGTCTCAAAAAAAAAAAAAAAAGCTGGGATTACAGGTCCAGGTTGGTCTTGAACTCCTGGTTTCAAGTGATCCTCTCGCCTCAGGCTTCCAAGGTGTTGTGATTAAAGGTGTGAGCCTTGCACCTGGCTTGTCTTAGCCATTCTAAGTGTACAGTTCAGTAGTGTTAAGTATTTTCACATTACTGTGCAACAGATCTCTAAAACATTTTCATCTTGCAAAACCGAAAGTTTATAACCATTCTTACTTTTGCAAATTTTATAAAAACATATAATCCCGGCCAGGCGTGGTGGCTCACTCCTGTAATCCCAGCACTCCGGGACGCCGAGGTGGGCGAATCACCTGCGGTCCGGAGTTCGAGACCAGCCTGACCAACATGATGAAACCCCGTCTCTACTAAAAATAAAAAATTAGCTGGGTGTGGTGGCGCGTGCCTGTACTCCCAGCTACTCAGGAAGCTGAGGCAGGAGAATCTCTTGAACCCGGGAAGCGGAGGTTGCAGTGAGCTGATACTGTGCCACCGCACTCTAGCCTGGGAGGTAGGAGTGAGCTGATATCACACCACTGCACTCCAGCCTGGGAGGTTGAAGTGAGCTGAGATCATGCCACTGCATTCCAGCCTGGGTGACAGAGTGAGACTCCATCTCAAAAAACAAACAAACAAACAAAACATATAATCCCATGCAAGTGATGAGTTCTAAAGTTTAAACTTCAGTTGGCTTCATGATAAATTCATTCTTGCTGAGGGAAGATTTGAGTCTTCTCGGAGTCCCCCAGGGGCACAGATTTGGACATCATGCACTGTAGGAAATCAAGGTTGCATCAAATGACCGCTCCAGGAGGGAGAGCTGTTAGGGAATAATAGGTCCAGAGGTGTTTTTTTTTTTTTTTTTTCCTTTATTGCCCAGGCTGGAGTGCAGTGGTGCAATCTCGGCTCACCGCAACCTCCGCCTCCTGGGTTCAAGCGATTCTTGTGCCTCAGCCTCCTGAGTAGCTGGGATTACTGGCATGTGCCACAACACCCGGCTGATATTTGTATTTATAGTAGCGATGGGGTTTCACCATGTTGGCTAGGCTGGTCTCGAATTCCCAACCTCAGGTGATCCGCCTGCCTTGGCCTCCCAAAGTGATGGGATTATGGGTGTGAGCCACTGTGCCCGGCCAGGTCCAGAGGTTTTAACCTTCTCATGGATTCCTGGGATTTTGAGGTGGTGTCTCAGGCACTGCCAATTTGGGCTGCTTAGCTCCTCCCCTCGCCCACACTTGAAACCTCTGTTTAAATAATAATGATGACATTAATGATCATCATTCAAGCTGACATACATTGGATACTTTACTACATGATAGACACTATCCCAAGTACCCAACTTGTATTAAGTTACTTAATTCTTTTTTTTTTTTTTTTTTTTGAGATGAAGTCTCACTCTGTTGCCCAAGCTGGAGTGCAATGGCACAATCTTGGCTCACTGCAACCTCTGCCTCCCGGATTCAAGTGATTCTCCTGCCTCAACCTCCCGAGTAGCTGGGACTACAGGCATGTGCCACCATGCCCAGCTAATTTTTTTTTGTATTTTTAGTAGAGATGGGGTTTCACTATGTTGGCCAGGCTGGCCTTGAACTCCTGACCTTGTGATCCACCCATCTCGGCCTCCCAAAGTGCTGGGATTACAGGCATGAGCCACCATGCTGGGCCAAGTTACTTAATTCTTACAATGTAAGTATGTGGTTGGAATGATCATTATCCCATTTTCCAGAGAAGGATGCCAGGGCTCGAAAAGCTTCAGTTTTTAGATTAAGGTTCCTTGTAAGATACCTTTTGAAAAAAAATTATTCTACTAATAACACGTTTTGAAAAAGTCTGAATTAGTCCAGGGCATTAATTTTACACATGGGGAAGTAAAATCCAGAAAAAGGGGTCATTTGTTTAATGTCACACACTTATTCCTTCATTATTTCCTGGGTGCCTGCCTTGTGCCAGTGGCTGTGCTATGACATAGGGGTTCAGAGGTAAACAAGATACTCATGGAATATAATTTTAGTGGAGGCCAGTGGGCAATATATACAACAAGAAATGAATAAGCAAAATAATTCCAGAGAGTGCTGGGATGATACATTTGAGATGTGACTGAGTGACAAGGAGAGAGAGAGTGTTAATTTAGATGGAGAGGTGGTCAGGAGAGTGTGGTCTGTGGAGGTGTCATATGAGCCACAACCTGATGACCTGAAGAAGTCAACCGTGCACTGCTATGGGGGGAGAACACTCCAGACAGAGGGATCTATGAGTGCAAAGGCCCTGAGGCAGGAATGGCTTGTTGGTAATAGAGCAGACTCCTGGTCCAGTACTCCTTTGCTGCCTGCTGCTCTCTAGGCCCTCGGAGAGGCTCCTTTGGTGTCCTGGACCTCCCTGAAGCTCAGTCCCTAAGGTGACAACTGATTCTAGGAAGGTAGCACATCTGGCTTCCTGCAGGTCCTCCTCCCAGAAACCCTGTGGCTGAACCGGATCTGAGTTTCCTGATTCCTGTCTGGCAGAAGGGGAGCAGATCTCCTCCCTGCCTCCTCTCCCCAGGCTCTAGCCCTGGCCCCAAATCTCCATGGCAACCCCTGGACACAGTTCTGAACCAAAGGAGGAGGATCTGGAAGGCGGAGCACAAAGATCATACTGAAGAGACCAGGGGCTGAAGGACTTGTCTCCTTCTTCTCCTTGTGTCCCACCAGCCTCCCTGCTGGCCTGACCAGGCCCCATACCCCAGTCTCCCCAGAAACCCCAAGCTGAAGATTCTGTGGGTCTGCCCCATTGCTGGGCACAGCAGAGCCTGGATGGAGGCTTGTCTTCTGCAGTTGCCCCAAAGGTTGCTCTTGCTGGGGGCAGCCGCCCTGACTGCAACTGCTTTGGAGACAGGTAAGTATGAGGGGGCTTGGTTGGGGTACCCAGAAGACTTGGGCTCCCACCATCCTTAGAGACTATGTCTCCCCAGTCAGCACTCGTCTTGCTGAGCTGAGACCTTTTGAGTTGGAGGAGGCTGGGAAACTGTGTCTGGTCTTGCTTGGCATCCCCAAGTCCAACCCTAAGCCTTCTGGAAGGCTAGACCTCCCACTCACCTAGAAGCAGGAGTCTGGGAGCGGGCAGGACAGCCCTCAGGGCCTGCTTTGCAAAACTCTGTAGGCTTTGGATTCAGAGAAGCTGCATTTACACACTCTGCCACTTCTTCTGTTTGTACCTTTGAGATCATTGTTTCAACTCTCTGTCTGAATTTCTTTGGCAGTAAAATGAAAATAATAGGCCCTTGCCCCTTAATTATTTTGTGCATATAAGATGAGATAAGCCATGCAAGACACTTCATAATGCCTGGCACATAAAAGGTGCCCAATTCCTGGCCGGGCATGGTGGCTTACGCCTGTAATCCCAGCACTTTGGGAGGCCAAGGCGGGTGGATCACCTGAGGTCAGGAGATCGAGACCAGCCTGCCCAACATGGTGAAACCCCATCTCTACTAAAAACACAAAAATTAGCTGGGCATGGTGGCATGTGCCTGTAATCCCAGCTACTTGGGAGGCTGAGGCAGGAGAATCGCTTGAACCAGGGAGTCGGAGGCTGCAGTGAGCCGAGATTGCACCACTGCACTCCAGCCTGGCAACAGAGAGAGACTCCGTCTCAAAAAAAAAAAAAAAAAGGGGTGCCCAATTTGCTTACTCTCTAAACTCCATGCCTGCTCTATGTACCTTCACGGTGGGCTCTGGCTTTAGCAGAGAAATACCAAATATTGGAAAGTGCTTCATATCCTGAGCTCTGATGAAGGATTTTTTTCCTCAAAGACCCTCATCCTGACTGGTCCTCAAGCACCCACTGGTCCCTATCTTGCACCAGAAAACCCACCTAGTCTTTTCTCTCTGTCTTTACAGAAATCAGGGCTACTTTGAGTACTCACACATCATCTCATTTAATCCTCACAGCAACCCTGTACCAGTGAGGATATTTTGGGCTGTAAGTAACAGACAACAAACTAAATGGGGCTTAAATGGTAGGATATTTGCTGTTTCACTTAAGAGTGGTCATAGGTAATTCCAGAGATGGTTAACTCAACGGCTCAACAATGTCACTGTTCCTCTGAAATGCTCTGACCTCATCTTTGCAAAATGGCTGCTGCAGCTCTGGACATCCCGTCCTTATCCTCAGTCAGCAACTTTCAAAAGCAGGAAGAAAAGGGGCTCCTTATCACACAGCTCTCCTTTTTTTTTTTTGTGATGGAGTCTTGCTGTGTTGCCCAGGCTAGAGTGCTGTGTTGCCCAGGCTAGATTTCGGCTTGCTGCAACCTCCGCCTCCCGAATTCAAGAAATTCTCCTGCCTCAGCCTCTCAAATAGTTGGGATTACAGGTGCGTGCCTCCACGCCCGGCTAATTTTTTGTAGAAACGGGGTTTTCACCATGTTGGCTAGGCTGGTCTCAAATTCCTGACCTCAGGTGATCCACCCGCCGTGGCCTCCAAAGTGCTGGGATTACTGGCGTGAGCCACCGTGCTTGGCCCCGCATCTTAGGGTTTTGAATAAGGGATTGTAGATTTGAATTAAATTAAATTAAATCATTTAGTCCTCACAATCATTCTGAGATTGCTTAATCATCCCCATCTTACCGATAAGGAAACTGAGGCTCAGAGAGGGCTAGTGGATCACACAGCCGGCAGGGGGCAGAGTCGAGTTCGGGGTCGCGCCGCGCGGCTCCAGGGTCCGTGCCTTCCGCTGCAGCCGACCTGGCGGACCTGTGCGGGCAGACGTGGCAGGGGGACGGGCTGCTGCTGCGCTCGCATGCCGCCTCGCTCAGGTTCTACTTCGTGGCTCCGGACACGGACTGCTGGCTCTGGATGCAGGCGGCGGCCCCCGGCGACCGGATCCGCTTCCAGTTCCGCTTCTTCCTGGTCTACAGCCTGACCCCCGCGCCCCCGGCGCTCAACACCTCCCCGGCCCCGGCCGGCCCGTGCGCCCCCGGCTCCTACCTGCAGTTCTACGAGGGCCCGCCGGGGGCGCCCCGGCCCCTGGGGTCGGCCCTCTGCGGCCTGACCATCCCGGTCCCCGTGGCATCCTCCGGACCCTTCCTAGGCCTGCGCCTGGTCACGAGAGGCCGCCAGCCCCGCGTGGACTTCGTGGGCGAAGGCACCTCTTTCCGTCTGGGTGAGCTGGGCTGAAGGCCGGAACGGGGCCCTATGCAGAGGCCATGCGGGACTGGGGCCACAGTGGGGGCCCCGGGGAGGGCTGCTGCCAACAGGGGAATGGCGCGGGCGCCCGAAGCACAAGGTGGCAGGGACTGGGTCTAAAGGGAGGGAAGAAGGTGGTGGCTAGTGGCAGGGTCACAGTAAGGGACCTCCCGGATCTTAAGAGTCAACCATATGAATCTGGCTACCGTGGATGTGTGTGTCAGACTATCCTACCAGCCCCAGTGCACACACACATACACACACACTCACACACAACTTCCTCCCCACACACATTCACACACAACTCCCACACATGTACACACCTTACACTCTGACATCCACACACACGACACATACACACAACCCACGCACCTCATCGCCCCCACACACTCCACACTCATGCCTTTCACTCACTGCAGCACACGCCTCACAGCGCACACTCACCATTATCACACACCTCATATGCACACAGTACCACCTTGCACGCTTACACGCAGCTCCCATGCTCTCATGCCACATGCTGGCTGCTCCGCGCTGGGTCAGCCCTTCAGATGTTTGAGAAGGGTGTGGTCAGGACTCTCCAGGCCTGTAGGCAGCAGAAACCAACTCAAGCCAGGAAAGGGGCCTCTTGGAACTGCAATTAATAATACTCACCCGACTGGGCGCCCTGGCTTACACCTGTAATCCCAGCACTTTGGGAGGCCAAGGCATGAGGATCACTTGAGTTTAGGAATTCAAGACTAGCCTGGGTGACAGAGGGAGACCTGCCTAAAACAACAACAAAAAATTTTTAAAATATAATAATTAAAAAATAATAAAATTAATAACAGTACTTGCCCCATAAGGGTATTGTGGGGCCTCAATGGGCCAGGATGTGAAGTATTTACAGCTGTGCCTGGAAGTCAGTACGTGTTAGCTGCTGTCCTCCACCCTTCTCCCCCTGAAACACTCATCCATGCTCTCATCCACATCCTCAACGGCAGCTATCTCCTGCCCACACCCCCACATTGTCACCATGGGACCACACACCCTGCTGTGTCGTGGGCCGGACCAGGATCCTCACCTCAGGCTTCCGCTTCTGGCCTCAGGACCTTGTGGTGCCTACTTCCGCTGCCAGAATGGCAGGTGCATCCCCTCAAGCCTCGTGTGTGACCCCTGGGGCATGGACAACTGTGGCGACGGCAGTGACCAGGGCTCCTGGCCACCAGCTGACTGCAGAGGTCAGTGCGGGGTACGGACTGGGCCCTACCGAACAGCTGGAAGGAAGCCTGGCCGGCTGTAACTCCCCTTCCCTAGGGCAGGGCCCGGGTGGGGAGGCAGGAGAGAGGAAAGCGGAAGTGTGGAATCGGCTTAGGCCAAGGGCTGGAGGGGCAGAGCAGTCAGGCAGAGAGCTACGCTGCAGATGTATCGCATCCGGCAGATTCCAAATGATGCTTTAGTGGTGGAAACTTTTGCTAAATGGGACCTGGCACGGAGGCCCAAGACGTTCAAAGGAGATACCCTCTGCTTAACTGGATGGTGGTCCTGGGGCTCTGGCTGCCTGATGTCTCTCTGAGGGCCCTGAGTGTCACACTCAAGACATAATTTGAAAACCATCAATCCAGTCTGACTCCCACACTTTACAGATCGGGAAACTGAGGTGTAGAGAGAAGTGACTTGCCCAAGGTCATAAAGCCAGTGAGTAAAATGAGCAGGAATGATCTCTGTAGACAGGGGAGTGGGATAGGAGGGCTAGGGTTGGTGGAAGGGACCAGAATAAATCACCTAGGAATAACCTTCCTGGGGATCTAGAGATGTCCCACCTGCCCACCACACCCAATTAGGAGTGGGGTGGAGGTAGGGCTGCCAGGTACAGTTGAACAGGGGTGAAATGCAGTTTCCCAGAACCCCACATACTTAGCTTCCCCATCCCCCGCTCAGCCATCTTTGCAGGTTCCTGGTCATTTCCCTGATGCTGTCTGCTTTGTGCCATGAGACCCAGGTCCTATGTCCCGTTGTCCTCCATCCAGGCTCATTCCCTTGTGGATCTCATTTATACTGTATCACCAGTGGGACTTGTCTTTGAACTTCAGCTACATAACCTTCTCCCTGCTCAGCATCTCTGCGTGGATGTATAGGTGAAATCTCAAACTTAACTTGCCCCACGCTGGACTCCTGGTCCACAGCCCTCCCTGCATCCTGCTTCCCTCTCACTGAGCAGCAGCTTCACATTCCAGATGCCCAGGCCTCACACTGAGTCATCTTTTACTCCCCGCTCAACCCATAGCCTATAACCCATAACCAAGCCAGCGACAAGTCCTTCGAAAGCTCTCCAGACTCTGACCCTTCTCACACCTGCTCTGCCATCACCTGGTTTGAGCCACCACCAGTTCTCGTCTGGGTTGTTCTAATAACTTCTGAACTGGTCTCCCTCCTTCTGTCCTTTGCCTCTGACGGCATGTTCTTCCCATGGAAGCCTGGGGGAGGCTTCTTTTTCTTTCAAATGAACTTGTTTATTTATTTGTTTAGTGTTTTGAGATAGGGTCTCATTCTGTTATCCAGGCTGGAGTGCAGTGGCACCATCTCGGCTCACTGCAAGCTCTGCTTCCTGGGCTCAGGTGTTCCTCCCACCTCAGCCTCCAGAGCAGCTGGGACTACACCGTGCGCTGCCATGCCCAGCTAATTTTTGTGTTTTTTGTAGAGATGAGGTCTCACTATATTGCAAGGGCTAGTCTCGAACTCCTGGGCTCAAGTGATCTTCCTGCCTTGGCCTCCCAAAGTGCTGGGATTGCATGAACTTCATTTCTCAGGGCAGTGTTAGATTTACAAAAAAATTGAGAAGATAGTACAGAAAATTCTCATATACCCAGCACTCAGTTTGGGTGCTATTATTGACATTTTACATTAGTATGAGACATTTGTTTTAATTAATGAAGCAATATTAACTAAAGTCCACAGTGTATTCAGTTTTCCCTAGTTTTTGCCTAATGTCCTTTTTCTGTCCCAGGATCCCATTCAGCATCTCACGTTACACTTATTTATTTATTTATTTTATTACTTTTTTTCAGATAGAGTCTTGCTGTGTTGCCTAGGCTAGATAGACTGCAGTGGCATGATCTCGGCTCACTGCAACCTCCGCCTCCCGGGTTCAAGCAATTCTCCTGCCTCAGCCTCCCGTGTAGCTGGGATTACAGGTGCACACCACCACACCCAGCTAATTTTTGTATTTTTAATAGAGACGGGGTTTCGCCATGTTGGCCAGACTGGTCTAACTCCTGACCTCAAGTGATCCACCCGCCTTGGCCTCCCAAAGTGCTGGGATTACAGGCGTGAGCCTACGCGCCCAGCCTCATGTTACATTCATTAATAGTCATCATGCCTCTTTAGGCTCCCCTTGGCAGTAGCAGTTTCTCAGGATTTCCTTGTTTTTGATGACCTTGACAGTTGTGAGTACTGCTCAGGGATTTTGTAGGATGCCCCACTATTGGGATTTATTTGGTACTTTTCTCATAATAAGACTGGAGTTACAGTTCACAGAAGTGAAATACCATCTTTATCACATCATATCAAAGGCACACACGCCCAACATGACTTTGGTGTTGGGTGGTGTTGGGTGATGGTTGATGCTGACCTTGACCGCCTGGCTGAAGTCGTGTCTGCTTGATTTCTCCACTGTTGCTTTTGGCCCCATCTTTCCCCACTGTATTCTTGGGAAGTCACTATGTATAGCCCACTTGAGTGGGGAGTTATGCTTCCCCGCCAGAGGAACCTTTTAAAGCAGTAACTCAGGTTATGTCACTCTCCTGCTCAAAACCCTCATCTCGCTCAGCGAAGGCAAAGCCTCCCTCGGGCTGGAAAGCCCTGCACGATCTGGCCCCGCCCCTTATTTCCTGGCCCCGCCTCTTCTTTCCCGACCCTGCCTCCTCCCTGGCCCCACCTCCTCCCTGGTCCTGCCTCCCCTCCACACTCCGGCCTTGTTCTGGCCTTCGTAGTAGCTGTGTCCTCTACCACTTTTCTTCTGAGATCTGCATTGCAAGCTCATTCCTTTGCTTCCCAGTGGATCTCTAGTTAAGTTCTTCCCTGACTCCTTTATATAAAAATAGCAACCCTGGCCAAGTGCAGTGGCTTGCGCCTGTAATCCCAGCACTTTGGGAGGCCAAGACGGACAGATCACCTGTAGTCGGGAGTTAGAGACCAACCTGACCAACATGGAGAAACCCCGTTTGTACTAAAAATACAAAATTAGCCGGGCGTGGTGGCACATGACTGTAGTCCCAGCTACTCTGGAGGCTGAGGCAGGAGAATCGCTTGAACCCAGGAGGCATAGGTTTTGGTGAGCCAAGATTACTCCATTGCAGTCCAGCCTGGGCAACAAGAGCAAAACTCCTCCTCCTCAAAAAAAAAAAAGAAGTTATATTATTAATAACTGTTAATATATTATTATATTCTAATGTGCATATTAGAATAGTCAAAATCACAGAGACAGGAAGTAGAGCCATGGTCACCAGGGGCTGGGGAGGTGGGGACAAGGAGGATATGGAGTTAATGGAATTGATGGAGTTTCAGTTCAGGCAGATGCAAAGTTCTGGAGATGGACGGCGGTGATGGCTGCCCAGTGTGAATGTGTATTAGTCCGTCCTCGCATTGCTATAAAAAAACACCGGAGACTGGGTAATTTATAAAGAAAAGAGGTTTAATTGTCTCACAGTTCTGCAGGTTGTACAGGAAGCATGATGCAGGCATCTGCTCAGCATCTGGAGATGCCTCAGGAAACTTACGCCTCAGGAAACTTACAATCTTGGCAGAAGGCGAGGGGAGCAGGTGCAGCCAGAGTAGGAGAGAGAGAGTGGGGAGGCACTGCACACTTTAAACAACCAGATCTTGCAAGAACTCACTATCATGAGAACAGCACTAAGGGGTTGGTGCTAAACTATTCATGAGAAATCCACTCCCATGATCCAATCACCTCCCACCAGGCCCCACCTCCAACACTGGGAATTACAATTTGACCTGTGATTTGGGTGGGAACACAGATCCAAACCCTATCAGAATATATTTAATGCCACTGAACTGTACCCCTAACCATGGGTAAATGGTAAATGTTATGTGCTTTGCCACAGTAAGAAAAGCAGCAGCCCTGCCCCCACCAACATGAGTAATTTTTCTCACTAGCACGTGTTTCCTATGGACCGAAATTCTATTCACGTGTTTTGTTTCTCCCCACACTAACCTCCCAGTTCCATGAAGACATATTTGTCGTGTGCTTATGGTTGTATCCCCCAGTTGCTAGAGCCATGCCTGGGGCATAGGAGATGCTCAAGGAATACTAGTCAAATGAATGGAAGAATGAACCTCTATGGCTCAGTTTCCTTATCTGTGAAATGCGGATAAACCTCACCCTTCAGAATTGTCGTAAACTGTAAGCTGCATACATAGGTAAAGGGCCCAGCACAGAGTGTGGTGCTTGATGTACAGAAAATGCTCATGGCTGGGCACGGTGGCCCATGCCTGTAATCCCAGCATTTTGGGAGGCTAAGGCAGGTGGATCGCTTGAGCTCAGGAGTCAAGACCAGCTTGGGCAACATAGTGAGATCCTGTCTCTACAAAAAATAAAAAAATTAGCTAGGTGTGGTGGCGTGTGCTGGTAGTCCCAGCTACTCAGGAGGCTGAGCTGGGAGGATCGCTTGAGCCTGGGAGGCAGAAGTTGCATTGAGTGGTGACTGTGCCACTGGATTCCAGCCTGAGCAACAGAGTGAGACCCTGCCTTAATGCTCAGTACATGTACACCCTCTTCCTTGAGAAGTAGCTCCACTCATAGACCGTAGGCCCTGGAGCCAGACCGTGTGAATTCAAGTCCTCCTATCACTTCCAGCTAAGTGACCTTGGCAAGTGACAACCTCTCTGTAAAATGGAAACACAAAGAGTGACAAACTGGGGAAGTCTTGTGAAGACTGAATGAAACATGCAAGTGCCCCAGAAAGGGCAGTTCTCAGTGTGCTAGTTCTGTTCTTTCCCATGTAGGTCCCTCTCCGGTGCCCAGCAAGACAGGAAGTACAGACCACCACACCTCCAGCTCTCCGACTCCCTCTCCAGCTCTTGGGTCCGCAGGATCCCTCCGGATTGCAGCTGAGAGGAGTCCCCCAGCAGGCAGGGACCCCACGAGACAGGACGCAGCTTTGGAAGGTTACACCCTGCTCCTACTCTCCCCGCCAAAATCACACCTGTCCCTCTCCAGGTGATGGAGACAGGGGCAGTGGGCCCAGGCCAAGGCCTGAGTGGACTTTCTCTTCCCACAGGCCCCCAGCTCCGAGGGGTGGTGCTGGCCTCCTCGATGCTCCTGGCTTCTGCTGGCCTCCTCATGGGCCTCCTCTGGTGCTGGTGCTCTCCTAGCTGGCTGGCCTGGCAACCTGGCGCCTGTGGCCTCTGCCTCCGCTGCAGCACATCTGCCATTTGCTACCCATGTCCCAGCCAGGTCTCCCCAGGGGGCTGCAGCTGAGTGGCCCAGCCTTCCAGGGTCAGGGAGGCCATCCCTAGAGGGCTTTGGGCACATGGGAATGAGACTAGGCTCTGGGGTCAGACAGACTCTTCGGGTTCTAACCTGGCTCTGTGTCTGATGTTGGACAGGCCTCCTGACCCTCTGAGACTCAGCTGCCCCTCCAGAAAACAGGACGATTCCTGCCTCACAGGGTTGGGGGTCTGGGAGCCTCACTGATCCAAAAACACCTTGCTTCACCCCCAGATCTCACCTGCCCTGCTCTGCCCCACCCACAGACTCCACTGAGTGAAGCCCTCATCAAAGACACGGGAGGCCCCTGGCGGGGATAGCACCGTTTATTAAGAAAAATCAAGACAAAGACCACAGGAGGGTCCCTTCTAGGACACAGAGGCCAGGCGTCCCAACCCCACAGTCTGGGAGCCACTGGCAGGATGGCACTCGAGCTGGATCTTCAGGCTCCCGCAGATGGGGCAGGGTGGTCGGTGGTCATATCCCCCTCCTCTCTCTCCCAGTTGTGAGTTCTGCTTTCCCCCACCCAAGGCACTAGCTCTTCCTGGGCACCAGCGGCATCTGAGGAGTCCCTGGGCCTTCACTTCCAGATGAGTGGGGGTGTGGCCTGGGGTGGGCGAGGCCCGGTGGGCGGGGCCTTCTCAGTGCTGGGCTCTGCCTGTAGCAGCTCCTGGTAAGAGCTGGGGTGGGTTTTCCCTTACAGCCCCTGAGGGAGGAACCCCGGGCTGTGTGCTGGCAGAAGGGGGTGGGAATGCAGGCCAGGAGGAGGGCGTGGTAGGAAGGGGACGCTGCCAGAGGAGGTGCCAGGGGCTGGGTGGAGGTGGGTGGGGGTGCTGAAAAACGAGCTGGTGGGGATGGGGACCGCCTGCCCAGCGGTGAGCTGCCTTTTGCTCCACAGCCGGCACTAAAGACAATTCCCAATCCTGAGTGGGTGGCAGAGGTTCCTGCGATGCCCGTCTCAGGTAGCTGTGGGGCACCAGCCTACATGCCGAGGTTGGCTCTCCTAGGAGTGAGAACTGCCCAAGGGCTGCAGAAACAGGCCACCCAGCTCTATCTTGGGGGCTCCATTGGTGGGTAGGGGGAGAGTGGGGGCAGTTCTGGGCCCACCCAGCCACCGTTCCTGACCCCAAGTCCTGGTGGCTTTCTGAGGCGCCTACTCCCATCAAACCTGCCTTGCCCGCCAGCCTTGTGGCTTTGCCCAGCTGTGTGGGTGGGGGTGGCGTGCCCACCTCCAGTCCAGCCCAGGGCGGTAGCAGCAAAGCGTGGCATCGCCTCAGTTTCTTACAAAAATTCATAATAATATTAATAATAATATACTCGACGTTGTCGGGCTGGGGCGCGGCCCGGGAGTCCGTGTGGGGCAGGCAGGTGCCTACGAGGGGCAGGGGCGTGTGTTGGCCCCGGCCTGGGCGCGGTGCTGCAGGTCCAGGGGCTGTGGGGGCGGGGCGCCGGGTCGGGCCGAGTGAAGCACCAGGTTCTTGACACAGCCTGTGATGCCTGAGGAGAACCTGCCCCCGGTCAGCATGGTCACGTCGGGGGCTCCGCCTGCCAGGAGGTGAGAGGACAGGGCTTGTGGGCTCCAGCAGCCCAGGAGGCGAGGAAGGCCGGGTGAGCTCCAGCCCCAAGGGAGTGCTGTTCCTGCCCTTGCCCTGAGAAGGAGCCCCAGACTTACCGATGTAGACACTGCCCTTGGCGTTGACTGCCACGTTGGGACCTGGGGACCGGCCGCTGACCAGCTCCTCACCGTCGACCTGGATGGAACCTCTGCGGCCCTCCCTGCAATGGACCTGGGTCAGGCCCCTTCCCACAAACTCCTCGGTCCTCCCCAGTGCCACGACAGAGTCCCCTCCCTCTGGCACCGAGATTCCAGACTCAGAAGTCTGTCCCTGTTCCCCAAGCTCTCTTTCCCCCGCTGAACAAGAGATCGGCCCCACGAAGGCATCTTCCTCGTTTCTGCGCCCAGGTTTCCTCCTGCCCCGAGGGCGCTCGCTTGCCCCCAGCGGCGTGCAGTCTGAGATGGAAGCTTGAGCCCTGGCTGGTGGGTTCTCCCCTCTCCTGGCTTTAAGTTCTGTCTCCACAGAGCTCAATGCCTGCCTCTCTGCCCATGGTGGGGGGCGTCCTGCCCCACTCCAGAACACTGGGCCCCGTCCCGAGTGCCCGGCAGGGTCCCTTACCGCAGTGCTGTCACTCGGTGCCACTCGCCGTCATTGATGGGGTCCTCAGAGACCAGGCGGGCCTCCCCACTACCCAGCTGGTACCTGTAGTCATCCAGGCCCAAGAAGTGTGAGCTGGGGCAGGATGGGGGGGTGGGGTGCTGGGACCAGGGAAGGGAGAGGAAGGGCCAGGTGCCAGGACCCACCTGAAGACAAGGTGCCCATCTTGAAGCCCGAGACTGATGAAGTCCTTGCCTCGGCCGGCCTCTCCCACCTCCTGCCAGGGAAGCACAGGGTCTCTGGGGTCCCCAGCCTGGAGAGCGGAGGCTGCCGAGGCCAGGAGGCTCCGCTTTCCCCTCTCCCCACCACTCTGGCCACCAGGAAGCCAGCTTCCTGCCCCAGGAGCCCCAAGAGTCTGGCCGGATGCCCACACTCACCACACCCTGCCAGAGCAGGAGGCCATTGGCCGTGCTGGTCCGAACCTCCAGCTCGATGGTCTCGGGCACCTCGGGCAGGCTGCGGAGGAAGAGTGGGTGAGGGGACAGAGGTCCCAGATTCCCGTCCTCCCCGTGAGGCCCACGGGCTCTCCCAACGCCAGCCTCACCTCCTGGAGAAGATACGGCCAGGGAAGGCAAGGAAGCCATCATCGTGGAAATAAGCTCCGTATTGCCCAGGGGCATCTGCGGGGGAGAGGGGGATGGTGCCACACCTGCCACATCAGGCATCAATCCCCAGTCAGTTCCACTGACCCCCACCTCCACGCCAACATGAAGGACTAGGGGGCTCTGAGCCTGCAGTCCCTGGGGACCCAAGGGAGTTGTCGACAGAATTCAGGGGGCCTGTGACTTTGGATGGGAAAGCATTACACCTCAATTTCACTCACTTCTCACTGAAATTGAGCAGTTCTTTCAATGAGATGTAGGCAAGAAACCAAAGTAGTAGTGGTAGGACCTGCAACTTTGTTACTAGTATTTGCTTATCACATTACAGTAGCTGCAAATATTTCAAAATATCATTTACACATATTGCTGCTTTGAAACTGTGGTAGCTACTGAGACCACCGGATCTTGTTATTTGATGTATTAATAAAGAAGCACACATAGAGCAAGTCAGAAAACTTAAAAAATGTTTTGATTACTTTACTTCAGCATAATTGCTTTCCTTAAATCAATGCATTTTATTTTATTTTGTGCAGTCAACAGGATCCATGTTGGGTGACGCGCCATTCTACTTGCCAAGTTCTGTCTGGCTTTAGCCCTGAAAGTCCCACATCCCAAGAAACCCCTCAGTCTGGAGCTACTGGGATGGTTGGTCACCTTGGACCATGGCAATAAATGATTCAGAGCCTTGGTGTTCTCTCCATCTTACAGATGGGCAGGCAGGCTCAGGCGAGTGACTGGCCCAGGATGTGGGGGGAACTAAGATTGCAACCTGGACCTTTTAGCCCTGATGTCCATACTGTGTGTGGCTCTACCACCCCCAGCCCTATCTGTTCACGACCCATCCTACAGGCTGGCAGTGGCCATAGTAGCTCTGGCAGGGGACAAGAGTAGGGGACCCTCTCCTACCCTCTGCCAAATGATGAGGAGAACGGCTGACATTTACCAAGAACCTACGATGTGCCTGTGCGGTGAGTGTCCCATCCAGCCACAGACACCATTGCATTTAACTCAATCCTTACGACAACCCTATGAATGAAGATTATATATAGATATGTCTTATTTTATTTATTGTTTTGAGATGGAGTCTTGCTCTGTGGCCCAGGCTGGAGTGCAGTGGCACAATCTTGGTTCACTACAACGTCCACCTCCCAGGTTCAAGCAATTCTTCTGCCTTGGCCTCCCAAGTAGCTGGGACTACAGGTGCACACCACCATGCCCGGCTAATTTTTGTACTTTTAGTAGAGATGGTGTTTCGCCATGTTGGCCAGGCTGGTCTCGAACTCCTGATCTCAGGTGATCCACCCACCTTGGCTTCCCAAAGTGTTGGGATAACAGGTGTGAGCCACCGCACCCAGTCTTATTTTTTATTTTTTTGAGACAGGGTCTTGGTCTGTTGCCCAGGCTGGAGTGCAGTGACACAATCTTAGCTCACTATAGCCTCGACCTCCTGGGCTCAAGTGATCCTTCTGCCTCGGCTGGGACCACAGCCATGTGCACCACACCCAGCTAATTCTTAAATTTTTTGTAGAGATGAGGTCTCCCTGTGTTGCCCAGGTTGATCTTGAACTCCTGGGCTCAAGTGATCCTCCTGCCTGTCTCTCGAGTAGCTGGGACCATAGATGAGCGCCACCATGCCCAGCTACTTTTTGTATTTTTTTGTAGAGACAGGATTTCGCCATGTTGCCCAGGCTGGTATAGAACTCCTGGGCTCAAGTAATCTGCCCGCCACAGCCTCCCAAACTGCTGGGATTATAGGCGTCAGTCACCACGCCCAGCTGAATATAGTATTTTTTTTTTTTTTTGAGAGGGAGTTTCACTCTTGTTGCCCAGGCTGGAGTGCAGTGGTGGGATCTCGGCTCACTGCAACCTCTACCTCCCAGGTTCAAGCGATTCTCCTGCCTCAGCCTCCGGAGTAGCTGGGATTACAGGCATGCGCCACCACGCCCAGCTAATTTTGTATTTTTAGTAGAGATGGGGTTTCTCCATGTTGGTCAGGCTGGTGTCAAATTCCCGACCTCAGGTGATCTGCCCGCTTCAGCATCCCAAAGTGCTGGGATTACAGGCGTGAGCCACCACGCCCGGCCAGCTGAATATAATATTAACAACAGCTAACATTCTGTACTGACTCTGTACCAGACATTGTTCTAGGCATTTAAAGAGGACTAAGTGGCCAGGTGTGGTGGCTTATGCTCGTATTTCCAGCACTTTAGGGGGATGAGGGGGGCAGATCATCTGAGGTCAGGAGTTAGAGACCGGCCTGGCCAACATGGTGAAACCCCATCTCTACAAAAAATACAAAAATTAGCTGGGTGTGGTGGCAGGCACCTGTAATCCCAGCTACTTAGGAAGCTGAGGCAGCAGAATCACTTAAATCTGGGAGGCGGAGGTTGCAGTGAGCCGAGATTGTGCTACTGCACTCTGGCCTGGGTGACAGAGCAAGACTCCACCTTAAAAAAAATGCACTAAGTAATTTTACTCTCACATAAAAGTTTATCCAGATCATTAGGGAAAGATGTTACTCATCTCCATTTTACATGAGGCACAGAGAGGTTAAGTGACTCACCTGAAGTTCCACAGCTAGTAAGTGGGAGAGCTAGGATTTGAACCCAAGCAGGCTGGCTCCAAGTCTATACTCTTAACCACTATACCACTGCCTCGCCTATGATATTAGTGATACATAAGAAGGGATGTGTCTGTAAAGGGGTTAGCACAGTGCCCATAAACATTCAATCAGCATTCACTCTTGACTGTTTCCTTAGCTTTTCAGCAGACAGTGGAATTCTTGGGAAGGAGGGTCTTGCTTTATGCTTCTTTTATTTTATTTTATTTTATTTTTTTTGAGACGGAGTCTCGCTCTGTCGCCTAGGCTGGAGTGCAGTGGCGCGATCATGGCTCACTGCAAGCTCCACCTCCTGGCTTCACGCCATTCTCCTGCCTCAGCCTCTGAGTAGCTGGGACTATGGGCACCTGCCACCGCGCCTGGCTAATTTTTTGTATTTTTAGTAGAGACGGGTTTTCACCATGGTCTCCATCTCCTGACCTCGTGATCCACCTGCCTCGGCCTCCCATATATTTACTGCTCCCAGGGCAAGGATGGGCACACAATAGTTTGTTGACTGAATACATGAATACAGAGGAGGAAACTGAGGTCAGAGTGGTTTCAAAGGCCTGCCCAAGGTCACCCAGCCAGTAAGTGTGGGGCAGGCCCCAGCTCCACATGGCTGTGGTCTTCATTCTGTCTCTCTGCCCAGCAAGCTCCTCATATAGAGCTGTTTTGCTTACAGGCCAGAACTGAGGGTGTGGGGTAACTGGAAGAGTGAGTTGAGGCTGAAGCTGGGGAGGAGGCCATGGCAAGTACTCACCATTGCCCCCGCTGCCTTCAAGATGCCAGTCGGACTCTGCTATGCCATGTCCAGAGCCTATGGAGAAGGGCAGGGTCCAGTTGGTGGGCACAGACACCCGTGGGTACTATGTCGAGCCCCGGGGCCCCAAGACAGAGATGAAGTGGAGAGAAGCCAGGCCTGGGTACCTTGTTGGCAGCGTGGGCCAGAGAAGCCAGGGAGGCAGAGGCAGCGGGTGCCCTGGCAGGTGCCCCCATGCAAACAAGGTTCACGGAGCTGGCAGGGGTTCTCCTCGTGCTCACACAGGTCTCCTGCGGACCAGGGCAGAGGCGAGTGGGTGGGTGGGCATGGGCTGGAGGTGTTGCTGACCACCTGTGCCCCTCCCCTCCGGTGCCCTGGGCAGGCTTTCCCACCTTTGAATCCATCTCGACACAGGCACTGGAACTCATACTCGCCAGCGGGCATGCACGTGGCACCATGTTGGCATGGCTGGCGCTCACATGGGGAGCTGTCATAGCACTGCCCGATGCCCTGGCTGCCTAGGAAACTGTAGGTGAGGTCCAGCCGTTTGCCATTCACTGACACCTGTGGGGACAGGGACACTGAGGGACTAAAGGGACATGGGAGGCAGAGGCCCAGGTTGTACCAGCAGGGAGAAGAATACAGCAGAGGGCAGCTGGGAGCCCACACTGGGCCCTGAGTGGCAGCATGGATTCTCGGTGTGGGGAGGGAGGCACAGGAGTTGAGTGCCTACTGTGTGCCAGAAACATTCATCCGTCAGTGCAGACAATCCTCTGGCCAACCCTTCAAGGTATGTGTGATCATGCCCATTTTACAGAGGAGGAAACTGAGGCTCAGAGGTACAGCATCCTGGCCCACGGCCCATGGGTGGTTACAGGTGGAGGGGCCCAGTGCCAAGGTGCTGGGGGAGCCGAGGGAGGCGCAAGGTTTGGCACCCCTCCCCTCCGCTTGTCCCGAGGAGGCTCCTCTTACCTCGCCCACACAGCCGCGGAAGTGAGCGCTCATGTTGGTGGCTGGGGACAGTGGCACGGAAGGCTCCACGCCCCCCAGGTAGAGCAGGGTGTGCAGGTTGAGGCCTTGGCTCTTGCCGGGCGAGGAGCGCAGCACAGGGCGTCCACCATTCACCCGCAGGCTGCCATCCTTGTTGAGACGCTCTGCAGACACGCGGTGCCAGCGGCCCAGGGCCAGCGGCTCGGCGCTCCGCAGAACAGCCAGTCCTGGGGAGGATACCAGGCAGGGTTGGGCACATGGGGGCACACGGGGCTCCCTGCCCTCTCCACCACAAACAGGGCCCTGAGCAGATGGGGAATGCCCTACAGCCTTCTGTATTCCAGATGAGGAGCCCACGGCTCAGAGAGGGCTAGGGACTGGCCTCAAGTGACACAGAGACAAAAGGCACGGGAAGAGGGGACTCGGCCTGATCCCTGCATTTATCCCCCCACGCCTCCCTGGGGCTTGGAGAGCCGAGGGGGGCACAAGGCTTGGCGTACAGAGCCCCGCATTTGGTGCTGGGTGCCTACCTGACCCCAGCTCGTAGCGGAATTCCAGGTGGCCGCCCACCATCGCCAGGGACACGAAGTCCTCCACAGGCCCGCTCTTCCCCCCGCTGAACAGCAGGACCCCGTCAGGGGCGAGTGGCTTGAACTCCACGTCCAGGCGTAGCTCATGGTGTGTGTTGGTGAGAGCAGGCAGCGCCAGGTAGGAGCCAGCACCCGACAGTGAGGGGGTGGTCACCGTCACACCTGCAGCAGCCACAGCTCAGCTAAGGAAGTGGGGATCCTGGACCCTTGGGTGGGGTCCAGCTACTCTGCCTTCCTCTGGGATCCCTGCCTGCCTCACTCCCCCGGCCCAGAGGCTCAGGACCAGCTGGCACTAGCTACAGTGGCATAGGAGCCCCCCTGCCCTTGCAGACTGGCCTGGGAGGAGCTCCAATATGACAGGAGTCCTCTTTGGGGGCCCTCACTCACTAAGGGATTCAGCCTGGGCAGACACGTGACCAGGTGACTTTGAGATCCTCTGGGTCGGGCATCGTTTTATCATCCGTAGGGGCCCATCACAGCTTCAGAGTGCCCCACCCAACCTCCCCGGCTGACACTGGGACCCTGAGGGTCACTGGCCTGGCTCCACTCACCTTCCTCACACCGCAACCCCGAGCGGCCCAGGTGGCAGCGGCAGGTGTAGCCTCGACCATCAGGCCGGTTCACACAGGTGGCGTCGGGCCCACAGGCCTCTGGGGGGCACACAGGCCAGTGAAAAGGACATGGAGGTGACTCTGGAGGGAGGGGGGCCCTGATGCCAGAGCCCTGCCCATCACACCCCGGGGGGCTCGGCTAGTGAGGGTCAGGCCAGCCTCCTGGGAGGCCTTGGAGGAGGGAACTGAGCAGAGCAAGGTGAGAGCCAAAAGAGGCCATGGCGAGGACTGCGGGGGAAGCAGTAGAGGGACTCTGTGTCTGCAGGTTCTTCAGAGACTGGACGTGGATAACAGTGTTGGGTTGGGGGGGCACCTGGTGGTGGGTAATGGGGTGGGCACCTCGGTATTAAGATGGGACTGGGGGCTGGGCATAGGGGCTTATGCCTGTAATCCCAGCACTTTGGGAGACCAAGGCAGGTGGATCACCTGAGGTCAGGAGTTCAAGACCAGCCATGGTCAACGTAGTGAAATCCCGCCTCTACTGAAAATACAAAAAACTAGCCAGGGGTGATGGTGGACACTTGTAATCGCAGCTACTCAGGAGGCTGAGGCAGGAGAATCACTTGAACCCAGGAGGCGGAGGTTGCAGTGAGCTGAGATCGTGCCACTGCACTCCAGCCTGGGCAACGAGAGCGAAACTTCGTTTCAAAAAAAAAAAGAAGATGGGGCTGGGGGTGGGGGAGTGCCTGGGTGGCAGGGTAGTGGTAAGAATCTGGTCAGCAGGGATGGAGGAGAGGAAGCAGCCGTGATGGGGCGAGGGCCCCTGGGTAGCAGAGATGGGGGATGGGTACATGGGAGGAGTGGTAAGTGCTCAGGTAAGAGTAGGGTGTGTGGAAGTGCCCCGGTGGTGGAGATGGTGGTGGGTATGGGGAGGCAGCAAAGGGAAGAGGCAGGCCCTGGGGCGACAGCGACTGGCGTTGGGGGGTGCGTACCTGGATGGCAGTGCAGGGCCTGTGAGTGCTCACAGCGGCTCCCGGTGAAGCCAGCTGGGCAGACGCACACGTAGCTGCTGCTCTCGGAGTCATGGCACTGACCACCATTCTGCAAAGCAGCCCCCAGAAATAAGGCCGAGAACATTCAGTCCTCCCCATAATCCCCACAGGGGCCAGCCATGGCAGGGGGTGGAGGCCACGGCAGCCAGGTGGTATGTGGGGTGTGGGGTCACCTGGCAGGGCCGGTCCCGACAGGTGGGGCAGTGGGAGATGCCGTGCGCCGTGAGGTTGAGGTCGTGGAAGATGATCTCCTCGCCCTGGATGCGCAGGTCCCGGACACAGCCTGGGAGGTGAGTGGGCAGGATGAGCACAGGGCAGGGTGGCCCAGCCCACACCCGCGGTGCCCCCCCAGGCTCTCCACGGCTCTTCCAGCCAGCCAGGTAAGGCCTAGCCTCAGCTGGAGGTGGGGAGGGGGCTCACCTATGAAGCTGCTGCTCAGCCCCACCTTGGGGATGGCACCATAGTCAGGGTAGCCGCCCAGGTAGAGCTCCTCGTTCAGGTCCAGGCCCTGGAACTTGCCCTGGGGAGGTGGGGAAGTCAGGAATGGCAACAGAGGCTGGGCAGGGGTGGGATGAGGGCTGGAAGTAGTAGGATGGGGTTGGGTCTCACCTGGGAGGTCCCATTGACCGGGGCCAGGTCACCCACAATCAGGGAGCCCTGGGTGAGGCTGCGCAGCAGGGTCACGGTGTGGAAATGGCCCAGGGCCAGTGGCGTGGGGTGGCGGATGGTGGCCATGCCTGAGCCTGCATCGAACCTGCTCCGTGGGGCAGGCCAGGGCAGGAGAGATGGATAGGGGATTCGGAAGAAGGGCTAGGGGCCCAGTCGGACAGAGGGGCCCCAGCGGAGGGATGTCACCAATTCCTGCAGTCCCAGCCCTGGGGCTGTTCCAGTTCCTGTCCCTGTCTTGTCCTCCCACCCCACGACTCATCCCCTAGATCTTCTCTCCCCACATCCTTTCGCTGGGAGCTTTTCCAGAGCAGCCCACAGGGACCCCAGACTCAGGGCCCTGCAGCCTAGCACCTGGCCTCCCTGTTCCTCTGAGGACTCCTCTCTCCCTGAGATCACCTTGTTTCTCTGTTTATGGCTTGTTTACTCTTCCCCAACGAGAATACACCTTCCCACAAGAGCCAGAATTTGGTCTGTTTTGTTTTACCTGTATCAGTGCCTGGCACACATGGGGTGCTCAGCAAATAAGTGATGCATGCATGAATGAATGAATGAATCCTGGCCTGCAGCAGTCCCAAGCCTGAGGTTGCACCCTCCTCCACCTGACTGGCATACTATTCCTACTCCAGCAGACTGGGTGATCACCAAGGGGAACGGCCACATTTTCTCCTTCCTCCAGATCTCCTTTGCATAATGGAGCCCAGGGTAGTGCTTGCCAGACCAAAGCCCTGTGTCCAGTCCCCCTATACATGGGGAGGCTGGGGGTCTCACCGGAACTCGGGCCTTCCCCCTACGAGACCGAAGGAGATGAAGTCGGGCTGCCGGTTGGCCAGGTTGGTGGGGCTCCCTGGGACTCGCTTCTGCCCATTGTACAGCAGCATCCCTGGATGGGCACCACTGTGTAAGGGGCCTCCCATCCAGCCACAGGCTCCCCATCCTCCCCCACCCTAGAAACGACCCAAGCTCTTGAGCCTGTCCACTCTCGGAACCTGTCCCTCCCTCTGGCACTCCTCACACAGACAGGGCCTTCTCACTATCTCAGGGCTGGTGCCTCCAATGCAAGGGCCTTACTGAGCGCCCCTGGAAAGAAACTGAATTTGCTTCACACACACTGGAGTCTCCCTCAAGCGGGAGAGGGAGGCAGAGACTCACCCGAGTAGAGAAGGAGGCCTGGACAGTGAAAGTCAGAGACCCGTAAGAGACGAGAGAAAGAGAGGAGGAAAGGGTGAGATGGAGGCAGGGGAAGGAGGAAGGAGCAGAGACGGGGAGAGGAAGCTGGGACAGGAGGACTGGGGGTGATGCCCTGGTGGCAGAGGAGCCACGGGGAGGCTGGAGATATCAAAGAGGCAGGGATGGAGAAGTGGGGAGGCGCGAGAGAAGGTATGCCAGGGCGGAGGCCCAGAGGTCTGGGGGCTTCTGGAGAGGGAGAGCTGAGGGATTGGGGCAAGACTGAGGGGCAGCCAGGGCTCAAGCCATGATGGCAGTTACTCCACGAGGTCCCTCAACCCAGGCCAGTCCACCCCGCAAATGAACCCTCCTGCTCACCATCGGCTGAGTCGGGCCGGAAGGTGATCTTGATCTCGAACTTCCTGTAGGCATCCTTGATGGTGGGCAGCGGTAGGAAGGAGTAGGGGGTCTGCGTGAAGTAGGGCACCACCCGCTCTGCCGGCAGAGAGCACAGTTGGAGACCCTGCCAGTCAGGGAGTGGGCAGGGCACTGCCAATTCTTGGGGGTGGTATTTTACCTGGCACCTGCAGGTGGGCAAAGGCTTTGACCTTGCCCTGGCGGTTAGTGGCAGTGCAGACGTAGGTGCCCGCGTCCTGGGGTCGGACTGAGGGCAGCGTCAGCATGTTGTTCTCCAGACGGCTGTCAGGTGGCAGGCTGCCATCCAGCTGCAAACACACCAGCACTGAGGGCCCTGGCCTTGGCCCACAGCTCTAGGGGCCTGCCTCCCATCTGTGCCTCAGGCCCACCTTCCAACATTGTGCATTTACTCTTGGCCAAGCCTGTGCCACATCCTGGGGACACTGAGATGCTTCAGACCTGGTCCCAGCCCCCCAGGGATGCCTGCTGGTTCCCTCTCCAGTGCTTACCTTGCTCCAGCTGATGTCAGGAGTGGGGTAGCCTGAGGCTATGCAGGGGAAGACAGCTGCAGAACCAGCAGGCACACGGACTTCTTGGGGCATCGAGATCTGGGGCAAGGCTGAGAGGCATGGAAGAGACATAGGCCATCAACATGACAGTCACAGATGTGTGCCCAGCCTGCACCCTGATTCGTTTCATCCTCACACCACCCCTTGAAGGGAGCCACTACATTCCATTTCACAGATGAGGAAATTATGGCTTAGAGGGGGAAAAGTGGCTGTTTGCTCTTTGCTGGGCAGAGTCAGGGTTCAGGGCCAGATCCATTTCACTCCACAGCCTGAGACCTCTTCAACATGCCTGGGCAAAAAATTGTGCAGCCCTCTGGGGACCTGAGAAGTGCGTACTAGGGACAGTATAGGTAAGAAAGTTTGGAGGCAAGTCACAGGGTTTGGGGTAAAAAGGAATTGCCTTTAAAGAACACACAGTGTTTGCGTCTGCCCTGCATCTGTTGTCCTTGTTTTACTCTCTATTAGGTCTGTTTGTTGTCTGGGTTATGTCTCTGCCCTCAGACCATGCTGCAAGTCTCTCCCAGCAGAGCAGGCACTCCCTGCCGATGAGGACAAGGTTTCTTTTTTCTTCTTGATGCTCTATGGCCTAGCTCTCTCCCTGTACATTCCAGGCTACCCTGGGGGAATCTCACTTTTATCCCCTGCTGCTGCCACCTGTTATGAAACCTGCCCCTTAAATACACACAATGGAAAATATCCCAAGCGAACAGAAAGGAAGAGCAGAGCAGGCAGGCAGAAGATGACGGCAGGAGAAGCCCCAGCCCCACTCACTGCCCCCCAACAAAAGTCCCCACCAGTCTTCACCTTGCACAAGCAGCAGCACGTGGGATTGTGTGGTGCCGGCTGCGTTGGTGGCAGTACAGCGATACTGTCCCGCATCAGCCAGCTCTACGTGGGGAATCCTGACGACGCCTCCGCTCTGCACAATGCCAGGCCGCAGGTGCCCTCCAACTTTGCTCCATGTCACTTGAGGCTTGGGGTCACCCAGTGCTAGGCATTCGAACTCCACAGCGTGGCCGACCACCACGGTCTGCACAGACGTCCGGATGTTGATGAGCACCGAGGGCAGGGCTGGGGAGGAGGGAGGTGGAGGTCCAGTGAGATCAGTCACTGCAGACCTAGCCCGAGGGAGGCCATAGACTGCCCAAAGAAAGGTGAGCACTGAAGCTCCAGCATTCATTCGTTCCTCATTCGCTTTTTCACGCATTCACTCACAAACACACTCACTTGTCAGGTCTTATGCATTTACTCACTCACGTGTCCACTTATTCTTTTGTTTTTTTAGAGACAGGGTCTTGGCTGTATTCACAGGTGTGATGACAGCTCACTGCAACCTAGAACTCATGTGCTCAAGCAATGCTCCCAATTTAGCCTCCTGAGTAGCTGGGACCACAGGTGTGTTCCACCATGCCCAGTTCACACTGATTCAATCTTCATCAGTTCATCTGAGCACTCACACACTCCACCCATATCCTTCTTCCCTCCCTTGAAGTATTTATCAAGCCCCTTTTACTCTATGCTAGACACAAGCTAGGCAAAATAGAATATTTATCTTTATTCTGACACATTTAGGGGGATTCCTGGGGAACAGGGTCTGGGCTCTGTGCCTCTCTCCCTTTCTCATCTCTGTTCCCTACTCTTAGCAGAGGCCTGAAGCCACCCTCCTACCTTGGACAACCAGCTGGGCACTGGCCTGGGCCTGCCCCCAAGGTCCATGGGCCTGGCAAATATATGTCCCTTGACAGCTCTGGTCCAAGTTCTGGATTCTGTAAAGAAAAAATAATAAGACATCAGGAAAATGAAAACATTTGATAGAATGCTTTGCAATTGGGCCAGGCACGGTGGCTCATGCCTGTAATCCTAGCACTTTGGGAGGCTGAGGCAGGCGGATCACTTGAGATCAGGAGCTTGAGACCAACCTAGCCAACATGGTGAAACCCTGTTTCTACTAAAAATACAAAAATTAGCCAGGCGTGGTGGCGCATGCCTATAATCCCAGATACTCGGGAGACTGAGGCATGAGAATCACTTGAACCCGGGAGGCGGAGGTTGTGCCATTGCACTCCAGCCTGGGTGACATAGTGAGACTCTGTCTCCAAAAAAAAAAAAAAAAAAAAGAATGCTTTGCAATTGTGTGGGCGTTAAAAACTGATGAAGAACAGCACAAAGTGTTGCATTCTAGTTTCCCAATAACCACTAGAGGTAGGCAGGCAGGTTGGGGGGCACCACACCCATTTTGGACAAAGACCTTATGGTCTAGGGCTCAAGATTACAATTATCAAGCAGCAGAGCTGAGATCTGGGGTCATTCGTACATTTCTGGCCCCAGGGTCTGTTCTCTTTCCTCCACTAATAATAAATATGAATGGGCCACTGTTTACTGAAGGCCTTCCAAGCACCAAGCACTGGGCAAGTCCTTTAGATAATCTTTCAGTCTTTTTTCTTTTTGAGATAGAGTTTTGCTCTTGTTGCCCAGGCTGAAGTGCAGTGGTACGATCTCAGCTCACTGCAACTTCTGCCTCCTGGGTTCAAGCAATTCTCCAGTCTCAGCCTCCCGAGTAGTTGGGATTACAGGTGACCGCTACCACGCCCAGCTAGTTTTTGTATTTTTAGTAGAGACAGGGTTTAGCCATGTTGGCCAGGCTGGTCTCAAACTCCTGACCTCAGGTGATCCACCAGCCTCGGCCTCCCAAAGTGTGGGATTACAGGCGTGAGCCACCGTGCCTGGACCTCATTCAGTCTTTTTTTTTTTTTTTTTTGAGACGGAGTTTCACTCTTGTTGCCTTAGGCTGGGTGCAAATGGCACTATCTTGTTCCACTGCAAACCTGC